ATAGACCAGCCCCAGAATGAGGCTATGAAATCGCACCTATCTGAGTTGCGTTTGTTCTTCTCAGCACAGGAAATGATCCCTGACACCCAATTTCTCAGGGAGCCCGGAATTCAGGATGGAGCAAGGAATTGCTCTTTGTAGGCAAGGAGTCAGTCCTAAAACCTATCCTGGCTTACCAGGAATGTCACCTTCCTTCTACAAAGGAGATGCATAGTGAAGAAAAGCTTTATTTGGAGGATTATGGAAGCAAAGAGAGAGAAACTAATGCCTGAAAGAGAATATGGGTTTCTCCAAAGGGCAAAGAGCCCAGAGTACACAACTCAGGTGGGGAAGAGGGCCACCCTCCCCCCCCCCCCCCCACCAAATAGGGCACCACTTGTTTTCGCAGAGTTGGTTTTATAGGTTTCCTCCCCAACCATACCCATGTAGGACTATGTTGACAACAGTCCATTGTTATGGCATTGTCAAAGGGACGACTTCAAAATGTTCAGAGGTCTACCCTTATGTTTTTATTATAACCCTTTGTTTCTGCTGAAGCTTATGACAGAGAGGCAGAAGAGGATGCAGGTAGTGGTCCATCATTCTCTGGGGCTTGTGCTAGTGCCAATTAAGAATCTTATCAGACCTCAGTTGCTGTGTCCACAAAGTAAGGACTGGCCCTAATGCTCTTTTCTGCTTTAGGACTAGTGACAGAGTAAAGTAAAGTAAAGTAAAGTAAAGGCCCTCCCGTTGATCGTCGATTTGCTCGAGCGGGCCCAGTAACGTCTCCATTGGAGACTTTGTTGTTACTGTGTCTGGCATATCGAATACTCTCGGTAGCTTGCCGGGCTCTCCGAGAGGGGCGGAGGAATCGAACTCGGGTCGGCCATGTTGGCCGCGTGTAAGGCGAACGCCCTACCCGCTGTGCTATCGCTCCAGCCCAGTGACAGAGTAACTTCTTTAAATCTTATCTTGCTTTTACTACTTTATATTGTTTTTATCTCCTTGTTTAAGAAAGTGTGCCAATGAGTTTTTCAAAGAGCTCATTGCCAGGCCTCCCCATCTATCTGCCTGCTTCAGGTTTAAAAAAAAGTCATGTGTTCCATTTTATGCAGTTAAGTTGTTTTTAGAAAATAAAAATACTTCATTTAATGCACCCCAAAACCTAAAATTTAATTTTAATAAAACTAAAATTTAATGTCAAGGCCCAACTAAAATATCCTTTCTTCTAAAAATGTAGATTTTCCTCAATGCTTCATGTAACGAACACGTTCTCCTTTATATCTCCCTATCCTTTATCTTGTTAAATAACAAAAATCCAATCTAGTTAATTTTAAAGATCTAATTGACTTTATTAAATGATTCATGAGTCAGGCAGATTCCATCTAGCAAGTAGAAGAAAACTCTGAAATATTGTGCATAAAAGAGGTTTTTTAGTCAGAAAGAGGGCAAGATGAGGGGAGAGGGAGTTTTTTCAGACTTAGGCAACCTACTATTGGGGAATGGAAAACGGTTTTCTGACAGATTATCTCATCTTCCTTTGGGGAATGGAAAAAGTTACTTCATTGGTACTTCATCAATACAGACTAGAAAATTACATAGTGGCCAGTTTGACAATCAGAATATTAATATAAGTGCCTCATTTTGGATATATCCTTTTTAAAAAAAATTTTCAGAGTATCACTTTTTATTTTCACCTAGTGGTAAGGACGAAGGTGTTTTCATTCCAATTCTCACTCCAGAACACAAACTCGTAGAACAGAATTGTTTTATCTCCTTGTTTAAGAAAGTGTGCCCTACATGTGGTCAATGAGCAAATACATACTTTGTTTAATTTAATTGCTTGCATAACTCAGAAAAATTCTGTGTGAACAGGTAATACAGAATTCTTTCTTCACTGCTTACTATTTCAAATGATATAAAGCCTAATGGAACAAAGCAACAATAATAGCAAAGACCAAAAACAACACAGAAGCTGGTAAAGCATATCTATTAGTTATTTGTTTAAGCACCAACTTCCTTCCGTGTGGGACAACCTCTTTCTGTTAACAGTCCACTTCCAATGCAAGAGCAAAGCCTTACTTCTGTATAGGTTTGGGACTCTTTCCTGCTCTTCTGTTCATGAGAGTTTGTTTCCCCTGGATTCACAGCTGCTACACAGGAGAGCAGAACCTGCCTCGGGATGCCCAGTGGATTCTGAAGGAGGAAAGGATGAGCTTCTATTTTTCTCAGAAGCTGTTGTTTCTGACTGGAGGTTTCCCATGTGCTTTTCCCCTCTGTGCTTACCGTTTGCTGACAGGTTGCCCGACTCTTCTTTTATTCATAAACACAGTTACAGTCATGTTTCCCATTACCAGACTGATTGGAAATTCTTCATAATAGACTTAAGAGTCTGTTATGTGATGTCAAAATCTCATTTGGTGATATCCTCCTAAAGAAATCAACAGTAGGAACAAAAAATTTCATTGTTTCTTAGGTTGGCAAAATTTAATACGTCCAAATGGGGAGAGAATCTAGGTTTGAGATAGAATGACTTGTTGAATAACCATGGAAAATTCATTCACCTTTCAGGAACTTTCTGTCTGGAAATGTAAGGCTTAGTCTTTGAATGTTCTCTTATATTTTAGGCTATTCCAAATTATTCTTTAAAAAGACTAGAGGATACAGAATACAAGTTTTTAAAAAGTGAATAAATCTTAGATTAAGAAGAGAATGTTAAGGAGAAAATACTGTCAGAAGTAGAATTTACAAATTCATTTACCCATAATTGTATTTATGACTCCAATTTGGAGTGAAAGGAAAAATATCAGATGGCCCACTCTGTGCCATTTTAATTCAGTATATCTCCAGATTTCAAGTCTCAAAATTGTCAAGTCTGTTGCTAAAAATCTGGGTCCAGTTTTGGCAGTCTTTAGGTATCTAGATATGGTTGATCATACCTTCCCCCAAATCATTAATTTCTCCCACTCAAAACAAGTCACTCTGAATTATAAAACAAGGTGAGGCGGGAGGAATTCTGAATATAATTCCTACTAAAGCCTTCTCTTTTGTGACTGTGCTACAACCTTTACATTGTTTCTTATTTTCTGTCCAACTAAATGAAAGTGTCATACTGTTATCAAAATATGCCCACTTGAACACTTCTGTGGTTCCATAGATATTTGAGAACTTTAGCTGTTCCTCTAAAGGTTTTTCAGGAGAGAGAGAGGGAGAGAGAGAGAGAGAGAGAGAGAGAGAGAGAGAGAGAGAGAGAGAGAGAGAGAGAGAGAGAGAGAGAGAGAAAGTGGTACTCATCTGGGGGATGTCCAAGAATGTCCTAGTGATGTCCGCTGTGAACTGCAATCTGGCATTAATTTTTCAAAAGAAGCTTTATTTATTTTGTCCTATGATCTCTTCCTAGATTCTTCAAAAGGTAGCACTCAGTTTTGAAGTTTATTTTTAAAAACTGTTTCCCATACAAAACCTGAGTGCCCAAGAACAGATGACTGCTTAAAGAAACTTTGGTACATCTACACAATGGAGTACTACGTAGCTGTTTGAAAAGATGAAGTTATGAAATTTACATACAAGTGGTACTACATGGAAAGTATCATGTTAAGCGAAATGAGTCAGAAAGAGCGGGATAGACACAGAAAGATTACATTCATCTGGGGGACATAAAGAAACAAAATATGAGACTAACACCCAGGAGTGACCAAGATTAGTACCAGGAGGTTTGTTCCATGGCTTGGAGGCCAGCCACACATGCTAGGGGAAAAGAGAGCTCAGATAGAGAAGGGAGCACCAAATAAAGGGTGTTGGGAGGATCCTCCCAGGATGGGAGAAGCATGCTGAAAGTAGACTATAGACCGAACATGATTGCCACTCAGTGCCTCTTTTGAAAACCACAACACCCAAAAGGAGAGAGAGAACAAAAGGGAATGTCCTGCCACAGAGGCAGAGTATGATGGGGTGGGGAGAGGGGTGGGAGGGATACTGGGACCTGTAGTGGTGGAAAATGGGCACTTGTGGAGGGATGGGTATTTGATCATTGTATAATTGAAACCCAAGCACAAAAATTTGTAAGTCTACAACTGTACCTCATGGTGAGTCATTAATAAAAATTAAAAAAAAAACTGTTTCCCATAATTTGAAATACCTCCTTAGAGTTGATAGAGAACAGCTATTTATCAGAAAAATTCGGAATACACCCCAACCCCCAGAGCAGGGTTTCCCTGAATAGCTCTTCTCTCCAACATCCTCCTTAGATGAGTATACTTCCTTCAAAATACTCAGTTGGTCTCGTCCCTAAGTATTTCTTAAACATCTTCTTTAATTTATTTATTAAAACCCAATTGATGGATTTACCATCTTGCCAAGATAGAAGAGCTCCATTTCCTACTAATGCTCCTCTAATAACTAAAAAGAATCTCGGGCACAAAATAACAAACACACAGGAAGACTGAATGGTGGAAATAAAAGATGTACTTACCAGAATTCCAAGACCTGAGATACCACAAGATGATGAGTTCTCCTAATTTCCTTTTTGTTCTCATGTATTCCAAAGTTCAGAGTACTGGAGGGGGTCATTGCCCTGAACCTCTAACAGGCAGAGACAAAGTAGTAACAGTAACAACAAGCAAGCCCTCAGGAATATTTTCTCTCTAGGCAAAAGATGGAAAAAGAACAAGCTACAAGAGCAGAAAATATTTTCCACAATAGCTGGTTTATTCCAGGAAAAAAAAAAGGAAGAAAATGATGGATAGTAAGGATAATGAAGAAAAATAAATGTAAATGCAAAAGTAGGCTGCATTTACTTGTCTGGAACCTCTTCAGTGCCAGATGAAGAATTTTTGTTTAGAATTGTTGATCTAAGTTTTGGATTTTGAGGAAATGCAGAACTAAATGATTTAAGGGAATAGCAACAGGTGTAGATAGGCGCTTTTGGTGGATTGTTGCCAGGGTGAATGGGAACACTTGTGCTATTCCAAGTGTGAGATGACAAAATCTTCCATTGAGGCAGGAACATCAGAAATGTGGAAATGGGGAAAAATTTCCCGCACTTAGGGACTTGGCAATTGGTAACTGGAAGGCGAGAATGTCAAGAAAGCGAAGATGTAAAGAATGACTTTGATGTTTTTAACTTGGATGACTGTGTAAATGGGATGTCCCGACTGCAGTGGAGAACAAGGCAAGGAGCAGGTTTGAAGTGGGAAACGTTGAATTCGGCTTTGAGCAAACACGGTGAGCTTGAGGTATTTGCGGGTCATCCAGAGAGGCAGTATCTCCCACATCAATGATTGTGTAGGTCTGAAGGGAGCTGTCTAGTGGAAAAAGTAGATTAGTATTCAATTAGCACATCATATCAGTGACAACCTGGGGCTCCTATGCAAATAAGTCTGTGGTGCGTGTCATGACTCACCCATATTTTTTTCCTGAGCACAAAGTCATTTAGTTAAACCAAGGTTGTTTTTGTTTTTCTCTGTCATTTTCCTTTTCATAGTACTATATGTCTAAGCAAGATTCCAAGATTTAGATAAAAGATCTGGGTAACCACTACCTATTTAGTATTGATGTTTAATTAGATTGGGGTGGGAATAAAGGGTTGAGGGATCTTTCAGTAAGGGGAAATGAGATGACACTGGAACCATGGTGGTGGGTACCTTAAGCACAAATAGTGTGCTAGTTACATGTTGGAATAAGCAAGTAAATAATAATGTGAAATTGACTCAAATGTTCTGAGATCTGTTGTTTAAATAGAATCCTTTCAATAGAAGTCAGGACTTTTAAAGATCATCTGAATGGAAGTTACCCCAGCCCCCATACAAATGTGAGTTCATTTTTATGAACTTTTATTCACAGGAGAGAGAAAGAATGAATCACTCCCGAAACTCCAAGCATTAGTTTGGATTTTAATTGAGCTGAGGGGAAAAGGGGTTACATAGGCCTTTGGAAAAAGGTAGCTCTCAATCTTCATTCTCCTCCCGAATTGCTCTGCTTATACCATCAGGGATTCGCCAGAAAGGGCCACTACTGAGTAATACTCTCTAAAGATCCAGACAATCCTGAATCAAATTGGATTACCAGACTTCTCCAGAGCAGCAACCAGCGGCATCTAAATGGAAAGATCTGCAGCATCAAGTTAATGTCTAGGAGCTTTACCCTGAAACTTGCAGAAACTGCTGTGTGTGTTGGCACAGGGAAAGCATGGCTCATACTTACATTTCGTATAAAGACAGTCACTGTGAAAGGACACAACCACAGTCCCTATAGTCTCAAAGAGGTGGTGGGGAAATTTCCTGACTCATTAATGCCAGGCCTAATCCAGAAAATAGGTAAGGTGTTTGATTATGAGTTTAAGAGATGTCTTATGAAGAGAGAAAATAGTAGTATTTTATAAAGTTGCAAAATGACATTGTCTATTAATGACCTTCCTTCCTTTGTTCTTTTTCCTTCCTTTCTCCTTTTTTCTTCCTCCTTCCCTCCCTCCCTCCTTCCCTCCCTCTTATCCATCCTTCCTTCCTTCCTTCCTTCCTTCCTTCCTTCCTTCCTTCCTTCCGCTTTTCCCTTCTCTCCTTCCTTCCTCTCTCTTCCTTCCTCTCTCTCTTCCTTCTTCTTTCTTTCTTTCTTTCTTTCTTTCTTTCTTTCTTTCTTCCTTCCTTCCTTCCTTCCTTCCTTCCTTCCTTCCTTCTTCCTCTCCTGTTCTAAGAAAGAACATTCTTGACAGCAAGTTGGATGGTTAAAAGATGGTATATTCATGTTGTCTATAAAAATAATTTATTAAATCTTATTAGCTTTCTAAGATGTGATCCCCACTTCATGTTCTGTAACACACCTACCTTTCATAGGCCCGCAGCATGGTGGGAAAAGAAAGCACATAGAAGCTGCTCTTACAACACACTACCATGAAGGAGCTATTCAAAATGTGGGATAATTTAGAATACTTATGTTTCGGTAGTGATTCCAATTAAATCAGAGAAAAGTTTGGTTTTTACTTTGGTACATCTACACAATGGAATGCAGCTGCTAGAAAAGATGAAGTCATGAAATTTGCATGTAAGTAGATCAACATGGAAAGTATCATGTTAAGTGAAATGAGTCAGAAAGAGGGACAGACATAGAAAGATTGCACTCATTTGTGGAATATAAAGTAATAGAATGGGAGACAAACACCCAAGGATAGTAGAGATAAGGACCAGGAGGATTGCTCCACAGCTTAGAAACTGGCCTCACATGCTGGGGGAAAAGGCAGCTCAGATAGAGAAGGGACCACCAAGTAAAGATGTTTAGAGGGTCTACTCGAGATGGGAGATGCGTGCCGAAAGTAGATTTATAGATCGAACATGATGGCCATTCAATACTTGCATTGCAGACTACAACACCCTAAAGGACAGAGAGAGAGAGTAAAAGGGAATTCACCTGCCACAGGGGCGGGGGGGAGGGCGAGGGGCTTGGGGGAGGAATGGAAGGGATACTGGGAACTTTGGTGATGGAGAACGGGCACTGGTGGAGGGATGGGCACTCGATCATTGCATGACTGAAATGTAAGCACGAAAGTTTGTAAGTCTGTAACTGTACCTCACGGTGATTCATTAAAATTTTTTTTTTAATTTAAATAAAAAAAAGAAAGAAAAAAGTTTGGTTCTTGAGATCAGGGAGATGGCTCAAAAGGCCAGAGCACAGCTTTGCATGAAGGAGCCAGAGCACTGCAGGGCACAACCCCTCCAACTTCCCCTCCAAGCCTAGCTCTGCTGAGCGAGACCAAAAGCTACTACCCCCAAAACCGGCTCTTCAGGCAGCCCACTTAGATGAATGGGTGGGCAGCATCACACCACAATTAGCAGAGGTGACCTGATTTTCGGGACTAGGGCACAGGACTAGGGCACAATTTAAAAAGTAATTGTTCTGAGAAACAGTTACCCGTTTCTTTAAACAGTTTATGGGATTAAACAGCTGCTGGTAATATGAGCCTTGCTCATCCAGGGCAGGGGAAGAGTGAAAGTGGTTACTTTTGTTACTTGTGTGTCTTCCTCTACCTCTGTAGACAGGAATGAACAAAACTGATGAATTTCATTACTCCAAATACTCTCTTTAGTTTTGGGCCATACCCAGTGTTGTTTAGGCCTTACTACTGGTTCTGCATGGTTCACTTCTGACTGACTCAGGGGCATATATATAGGGTGTCTAGGGTCACACCCAGGTGAGCTGTGTGCTTTACCTGCTGTACCATTTCTCTGGCCCCTCAAACCACTTTCTGCTTTAGGGGGAGATGTTTGGAGCCATACGCATTGGTGCTTGGGTGTTACTTCTGGTCCTGGACACAGGAATCACTCTTGGTAGTGCTCGGGGGACCATATAGGATGTTGGGGATTGAACCTGGGTTGGTAGCATGCAAAGCAAGCTTCCTACTTGCTGGGTTGTTGCTCTGGCCCCTCAAATCACTCCGTCCTAACCCCACCGGTTATTGCAGTTATCCTGATCCCTGAAGCATCATTCTCTCCAGTGATTTCTTAAGGGTTCACTTAAACTCTTTAAGTCAATGCATGGTTTCCTGACATAGGAAACCATGGAGCCCCTCTTCTCTGGATAAGAAGAAGCACACCCGCTTCCATAGTTATATACTTAGTAAGAAGTGTTTTAGTGTATGGAGCAGAATAGATCTTTCTGTTTTTATTTAGAGCCCTGTCTCTCACTAGGATCGGGGATCCAGATTGTGTTAAGAGAAGGAACTTGGAAGGATCCAAGTGACACATGCCATTCAGTATCAGACAGGAGCAGAGATCCTCAGAATACAGCTTTCCCCGCTGAGCTCAGACTGTCAGTGCCTGCGTTTTCCTCTCTGAGGGAGACTTTTCTCCTGAAATTCCCACTGTCTTCAAAATGTTTGACCAGCTAGCAGGCCTATGCAATCTGGGTCAAACATATCACTGCCTATGTTTTACCTCATGAAGGGTTGTAGATGGGAATGGCATCAAAGCTGCAAAATGGCAGCTCTGAGGAATGGCAAGGACTGCTCAGAGCTGGGTAGAATAGTTTTAAAAGAAAAAGCAGGAAGCATCATTCTACAGGAACTTCCAGAATGACAGAGAGATGGGATGTGGCTAGAGACGGGAAGTCAGAACTTCCTGCAACTAGACTCAGCGGCCAAGTTCATCACGAAGGATCCCCAACTCCAAAGTTAGAGTATTTCAACCACTAGGAAAGAATGTGAAGGATTAAGGAGACCAGATGGCAGCAGCTGAAAGGGACATTTTGGTTCTCATAAACCTGAACCACCTCCACCAGCTCTCAAGAAACAGAGGAAGCCAGAGGGTTGAAACTAATTGTTTAGCTTTAGTCTTTTCATCTAGGTCCAGATGACTGAGTGGAAGGAGACTTTGTGGATGGTATGGCTGAACCATAGACAGCTTGCACCAATTTAAAAAAATGGCCCAAAATATGTGAGAATCCCTCGGGGCGAGGGAGATAATTCAAGTTGTAGAGCACATGCCTAGCATGTGGGAAATTGTTCCACCCCCCAGCACTGTATGAATCTCTTCTTAATACCACTGGGTAGAGCCCTAGTGCCCTGAAGCAGTGCCAGAGATGAGCACCACACAGCGAGGCTAAGTACAGCCAGCAATGGCCCAAGGGCTCCCTGGCATGTGGTGCTTGGGAAAAACTGAAAAAATATTTTTGATTCACTCCTGGAGAGAAGGATTCATGTCATTTTCCTTAAATTTGGGCATGGTTTGTGATGACTCCAACCATCATGACAGGAGGTGCTATTTGACTTTCCAGGCTGGTTCATGCCTGGCTCTCTCGAGATGCCAGCCTGCATGCAAAGTATCTGCCTACCCAAGGCAGCCAGGATGGGATGTGAAGGCCCCCTGGACAGCAGGCACAGATGAGCTCAGCCCTTTCAGCTGTTTTTACCACATCATGGCAGAGTTGATTAAAGCCATTCCCATACCCCTCCCCCTGCACCAACTGCTTCCCCAGACCACCCTATCTGCCAGCTGAATCCCTCTGGCATTAGTGAAGACACAAAAGCAAAAAATTTACTTCTATGCCTTGAATTGTGTCTTCCTCCTCTCTTTCCAATCCGTGTGTTGAGACTTAACTCCTAATACCTCAGGATGCGAATGTATCTTAAAGGTGGAGCTTTTAGAGAAAGGGTTTAGGTCACATTCGGTTACAAGAGGAGGCTCTAATCCAATATAACCGGTGTCCTTATAAGAAGAGTGTATACCAGACACACAAGGGAAGATGGTGA